AGGTTATCTTTTCGACGATTAATTTGATTACTATCTATGTTTTCTCGTATTGTCATTGATATGGAGTACACATTGATGAAGGAATAAGGGACAGTCTAAATAGGAAAGATTTTAGAAGAGTCTTAAAAGATTCCAAAGATTGAGCCAATGATATGTGGCCTGGTAACAGGAAGTCCTTTGTACATCTTAGGAGCCACTACAGAGAAGTTACCCACACCAAACTTTGATAATCGGTAATGTAATACAGAATCGTGGATTATACCCGATAACTACTGGCCTGTAACAGCCGGCTACTAGCTTACAATTGATGCAAGCTTGGTGTGTGGATGACTCTGCAGCAGCAGGTTCTCTGAAGAAACTCGGGCTGTTGTAGGATTTACTCAGTTTGAACGGTCCTAAGTTAGGCTACTTCCCCAAAAAAGTGAAGACTATTCTTATCCTAAAGGGCCTAAAAGAAAAATCGCTACTACCAGCAGCCATGTTTTTATTTTGATTGAAATAAATTTTCGTGCACATACAGAATGAATGGTTAATAATTTAATATATATGTAGACCAAGGTCTGTGCACGGGATGCTTCCTGGAAGAATCCAGTTCTTTTAGCGGGGCACCCTACCTAAAGCCAAATTGAGATATAATAATCATATTCCTAAGAAATAATCAGAAATCGAATACCAATCAAATAATATGATATACATGAGTAGTAACCATATTTACTATGCAAAATGCCCCAACCACATAGTGTAAATTTATATAGAATTCAAATTCCATATCATCATTAAACCTCAATACCTAGTCAATATAATAGCCCAAGCAAAATTAAATAACTTCTTATATACCTTACTGTCATACTACAAATTAATTAAACATTTGAAATCTGTTGACCAGAGAATAAATTTCTAAGCCTAATGCAAGTGAAATAATTTAGATGCAATAATGAATGCCTAATGTGAGTATCATTTGTCAATGTCCTTGTAAAAAAGTCTGTACAAGAGATATGAGTAACTAATATAGAAGAAAAAACAGGAAGTTGTCGTCTGTTGTAAAATAAATAAAATATCTAGAATATAAATTAGAATATAAAATAACATTCAGTCAATGTGTCGTCAATAAACTGTACAATTATCAAATGTTAAAACTGGGTGATACAGTCACCAAAAAAAATACTAAGTATGATAAGTTAATAAATTAAATGTGGTCTATAAAACTACCACTAAGTATAATAGGTCAATAAATTAAAAGTGGTTTATAAAACTACCACTGTGGGAACCCCTTCTCCAGTTAAAACATGTCAGTCATGTGCAAAATCAATCAGAATGGTAAGGTGGTAAAAAAGGGAATATCTTTTCGATACGTCAATTATATATGCCTCAGATTTAAAAGAATTAGAAGTTACTTAGTTATCGTCGACTATGATTGCAGTGTAAAATTTGTCATATGAATTGTCGACGGTATAATTAGGGTCTGTTGTTATAGATGATAGTAGCTGTTTCTTATACGAATCACTAAAGCTTTTAACATCGGGCAGATTTCGTAGATCTGTTGGAACATTATTCCAACATTTTGCCCCCAAGTATTGAAAGTTTTTATGTGATGTTGATCTATTGACATAAAGGTTGCAGCTTTCGCCGCTCCTACTACCTCCTGATATGTAACTAAATTTGTTCACAAAGTTTGTAGGACAATTGTCATGGATGATTCTAAACATATAATTTGACAGATGGAGTTGTCGTCTAAGATGGAGTGGTAACCATTTCATGTCTCTATAAACATTAAGGCTGCTCTCTGTTTTTGGAACGTTGAGAGCTATTTTGGCTACCTTTTTGTACAGAGTGTCAAGTTCAGCAAGTTTTGTCTTGCCAGCTCTACAATAGATCGTGTCTAAATAATCGAATTGTGGCAACATGAGTGCATTGGCAAACATTTTCCTATATTTAATGGGTAGCAGTGCTTTACTTCTATACATGGCACCGATTCTCTTCATGACCTTCCTAATAATATAATCTACATGGCTTTTGAAGTTTAATTTACTATCTAAAATGAGGCCAAGATATTTTGTCTCTTTGCACTCCTTGATTGTGAAAGTTACCTCATTACAATCAATGGTTATTTCATCATGTTGGTCAACAGAATCAAACAATAGGAATTCAGTCTTCTTTTCATTGAGTGATAATTTATTAACACTGAGCCATTTAAAGATTGTCATAAGTTCTATTTTCATGTTTATAAATGTGCTTCTGCAGGTTTGATCAAAGAATAGTGCACCATCATCTGCAAATAGAAAGGGCTTAGATAGGTTACAGGCATAAATGATGTCATTTATGAAGATACTAAATAATATAGGCCCAATGATGCTTCCTTGTGGTACACCACTCAGAACTTCTAAAAATGAGCTTAGATTGCCATTGATCCTAGTGCATTGATATCTACAAGATAAGAAGTTCTTAAACCAGGTTAAAGCAATGCCACCAATTCCATAATATGCCAATTTTTGAAGCAATATTTCATGATTCACTGTGTCAAAGGCCTTCTTAAGATCAAGAAAGATGATTCCTGGTTTATAAGACTTAGATTTACTCATATATATTTCGTCCATCAGATCGTACATCAGATAAGTTGTGGAGTGATTTTTCCGAAAGCCATATTGATGCCGGATGAAAAGTTTGTTCTCTTCCATGTAATCAGTGAGTTGCTTGCCGACAAAGTATTCTATAAGTTTTCCTACAAGTGGAAGGATGGATATTGGCCTGTAATTATTAGGATCATCTTTCATTCCTGCCTTATGGATGGGAGTTACTCTAGCTTTTTTACAAAGGGTTGGTACAACACCTGTATTAAGGCTCAGATTGACAATGTGGGTCAGTGGCTCAACTATGTGTGGTACAGCTTGCTTAAGTAAAAATAGAGGCACATTGTCATATGAGGCCTTGTCATTCTTGAGCGTTTCGACATACATTAGGATATCAGTTTCATTTATTTCTTGGAATCTATCAAATGAGATATTAGAAGTTCTAGGAGGTAAAAAATCAGTAAAACTAACTCTTTCAATATTGGGGGCCTGATTTTGTAATCTTGATCCAACATTTGCAAAATGAAAGTTAAATAGCTCAGGATCATTCTCATTGATAGTTTGACAATTAGTTGTACCAGGGAGATACTGGTATAGAGATCACATGCGATGGGGAGCATCATCTGGGAACAGTGATAGGTGGAGAGGAGGCTAGAAAGACGTATGCAAAAAAATAAAGTAGAAAAATGGGTGAAGGATGTAGAAGAGTTGTCAGAAATTGCTCTTGATGAACTTCAGGCAGCCCTATCATCGTATACCAAAGCCCTCTGTCATCGGTGGACCTTTGTGATGCGCACCATCCAAAACACTATTAATACCTCTTCATCCCATTGGAGAAGTGTACAAGAGAAAAGTTCATTCCGGCAATTATTGGTAGGAATGTGACTGACCTGCGCAGGAGAATGTCTGCGCTACCTGTAAGATGAGGGGTGGTTGGTATTGTTAAGCCAGTAGAGATCGCGGAAAAGGAATACCAGACGTCACTCAATATAACAGAGGAGCTGGTTGACCTCATCTATGACCAGGAAACATTCCTGATGAAGTTGGATAAAATTAAGATAAAGGGCAGAGTGAACAGCCTCAAGTTAGTTAAAGAATTACACTTGAAGAAGGAGCTTGCTGAGATAATGAGTGAAGTGGATGAGAATACTAGGGAGTCACTGCAACTGGTACAAGAACATGGGTCAGGAGCTTGGCTAACATGTCTCCCCATTCAACAGCTAGGGTATGCTTATATAGCGAGCAAGACTTCAGAGATGCTGTTCATCTCTGGTATGGTTGGGACATCCCTAACACCCCAAGAATCTGTGATTATGGAGCCAAGAATGATCACAATCATATCCTCAACTGTAAGAACTACCGTCATAACAACGTGAGAGACTCTGTTGCTGAATACCTTAGGCTGGTGACCAAGGATGTGAGCTGAGGATTTAGCCCCTGTTAACACCTATAGAATCAGCCAACTTCCAACAAAAGGGCAACAATGCTGATATAAGGCTAGGCTCGATATATCAGCAAGAGGAGTATGGAGCACATTTGAGAGGACTTTCTTTGACATGCGTATTTTCAATCCTAAATCGCCTACATATCAAGGAAAGACCATGCCACAGCTCTACACTCTGCACGAGAATGAGAAAAAGAACCAGTATGCATGAACAGTGTGCTACAATAATTGAAGAAAGGGTCATTTTTGTCCTCCCTGTATTTACCACTACAGGAGGAATGGCACCTGAGCTTGAGGCCAAGTGTTTTATAAGGAAACTTGCTGTGTTGATAGCCACCAAGACCAAGGAAGACTACAGCCAGGTGATGTGTAACATCAGGACACGCCTGAGCATGGATATAAAGACTAAAGAGGAGTGTGCTAGTAGCAGTTAGAGGTGTACATGGAAAGCTAAAGAAGGCATGGACCGCCCCTATATCCAATGTCTCCTTCAACCTGATACCTGAGGAGAAGAGCTACGAAGGATAGACGATATCTATTGCTCAGGATTAACGATTGTGCTCTGCCAATTGCATCACTTGATTTAATTTATTGTATATATATTATATATACTGTTTAACATTTTTCACTCTTCAATAAAAAACTAGCTTAATGTCAGTAGGTCGTTAAGAATTTTTGTGTGCACACACAGATACCTAACAGTATTATTATAATTATATCTTGTCTGGATATTTGAACCTTTCGAATTGTATCTCGAAATTTATGTTTAAATTCCCTGTGTAGTTTTTTCAATGTATAATGGGAATAATATTGTAAAATGTCTATTGTATAATGTCATCATTTTATGGCTCTTCAAGTATCCATTTTGATTGATGTAGCAATTTGAAGTTGCAGCCGAAGATTTATTGATTTTAATGTGGTCCATTCTTAATAAAAACATTTTGCGTTACTATTCGTTTAAACTGCTTTAGCTTTTAACTGTTTAGGAGATGATTTGAAGCAGTGCAACGATCTAAGTGCGGTGAAAACGAAGTCAGACCAAAGCCAGATGCTTTAGTTCACACTGTGACTGATTAATGTACCTCTCAACCTCTGCAGTCTGCAACATACTGACTGTCTTACTTGTAACCTGGTTAGTTATAATAGTTATTTTTAATCGTATACCTTCAAGCTTTTCCTCCACAGTTTCAACCAACTTTGAAACACTGATTTATTGCTAGTATTTTATATTACTGAGCAGACTGAACCAAGTTTTGATTAAATGATTAAGATTATTAAAGTTGAGATCATAATCGTATAAATCCAACAATTAATGATCGCTTGTATTTGTTGCTGTGAGACACAAAACACTACACATCCACATTTGACACTAAACACTACGCCTTACACGCTAAACACTACACATTACACTAGGACTCTAGGAGACAATGAATCTAACGGCCTGTGATTTGTGAATAACCGAAATTTAACGTATACTGTAAATGTATCTATTTATTCACTAAGAAAATCATTAATTTATGCTAGTACCTGAGTGTAATAGTGCTTATGTAGATCGTGGATTTATATCTAATATTAATAACAATGCAGTTCCCTCTTAATAAAGGTCACCATACAAGTTGTACTTTTTGAATAACTTTTTATCCTTTTTTCTAACATTTATTCTGTAAATAGTTGTTGGTAGTTCTAAAGTTTAATGGCAATTTCTGTTTGAATGTTTTGCGATACTTACTCTGGTTACTCATTTTTGTTGATGGAGGTTATTTTTAATCAACAGCTGTGTCATAATCACTTGAGGTCCATGCTGTATTGTTGGCTGCATGTTGCAGCTTTATGAATTCCTAGGCGACTTTTAGCAATGATGATTGTATAGAAGTTGTCAACAAGCTTGAGCTGGTGCTATTGTGCTCCTGATTTCAGTGGACATTTTATTAAATTGTAGTGGACTGTATACCACCTGTTCAGTGCAACTAATTGTACTGATCTGTAGGGCACAATTTTAAAAGAGTTTATTTTTTACTCTACAATGCTGTACTGTTCATTGTGTTTGGCCCCGACTTTGATTTCCTTGTTTTCTTTATCTTTTCAGCACCTCAAGTTCTGATTTTCTGAAGGAGGAATTCTAGTTAAAGACGTTCACATTATTATACAGTGATCTGATGAATGACAATATGCGGGAGTGAGTAAAGCTGTAAAAGTCATGAAAAAATTATCGATCAATAGGAAGAAAGTTAAATAAATGACAGTTATGATGACTAAAAGTAGATTGAACGGCTAAAATACGGGTATTGGGAGCTAGAGAAATAAAATAAAATGATACAAGCTTGCATTTATTCTGTCTAACATTTAATTAATTCTATGTATGTTTGTGAAACTACTCAGTACTCTCCATCTCCTTTCTTCAGGTTTATTTTTTAAATTTTTTATAATTATATGGCAGATTTATTTTATTTTAAATATATAGCAATGGCCAAACCACATTGTACATTGTTTGGTATCATATTTATGTATGCATACTTATAACTAACTGTATATAATTTCAATAATTTTCGGGGCTCAAGTCACGACGTCTCGTCCCACGAGTAAAGTTGTAAGCTGAGTACATACTTTTAGATCATCTTACCTCGTACGGTGAAATGGGGAAAGTTTTGCTTCAGCCTGGTGTGTTGAGTGCTTCCCAAGTTTTGGGATCCAAAAATATGATCACCATGAACACTACTTAAGAGTTAAAACATGAACTTATCACACAACTGCAATGATTCCAGAAAATTGTATAAGTGCAGTTACTTAATATATATTATATAATCTACACGGTCTCTGAATGAAAGATAACAATTCAGACACAATCTGTCTTACCTGTAATTAAAAGAGTCCATTCCACAGTATATGGGTTCTGTAGAAAATGATTTTGCCAGTGGACTATTTGAGGTACAGATGGTGTGTGAATTCTGACTTAACTTAGGTAAAATTGATTACACAATAGACAGACTGTCGAGGTGGCAACGTCTTAGTCGAAACGTTGCCATCATTTATAATAAAACATTTTCAAAATTTACAGATATTTCCAAAACAGTTTACCCCCCAGTTCCATGGCCGGATATTATGCCAAATTATTAGACGGAGGTCCATTTCCCGTAGATCATCTCCGGAGATGATTCTCCGGCTCCGTCTACTGTATTAGACGGAGATGAAGCTCTCCGAGAATTTCTCGGAGATTAATTCATACAGAATCAACAAAATTACCGTAGATGGTCTCTGGTCGTGGAACTGCAAACTCCGGAGAAATATCAGTAGACGATCTCCGTCTAATAATTTGGCATAAGGTTCATTGTTTATTATTCTGATCCAAATTTTAGAGTGCATCTTGAAGAAAGATATCTTTAGCATTAAATTTTACTGCGTTGGCCTTCGTGTAGTGGCAGAGGAAAGTTCTTTTCTGAGTTCCGTGATAAATTTTCCTAACGAGATAAACAATTTGCTTTTATATTAAATACTTTTCAAATTTCACATCATACTATACCCCGGATTAGATGATCTATTGCAATATGTTGCAATGGAGTTTCTAAAATGTATATCATAACTTCCATTTTTTTCAGGTTTTATTGGTGTTGTAGACGATCACTGAATTCTGTAGCTCTGTGAGATTTGTGGCTTCATCGAATTACATCACGCAGACTTGAATGAAAATATGAAGACGTGAACTAGATCTGCTAATGCTATTCTCTCTTTAGCAAATAGCACGAGGTTAATTAAATAAGCAAGGGTAGATTAAAATATAACAATCTTTTGAAACATATGACATCGTGTATTTTACTAAAGTTTGTTGGAGGATTGAAATTCACTTTCAAATGCTACTTTCGCAGCTCAGAATGGTTATAATTTTAATCTTAAAGTAATGCAATGTTATTTTTCAATCTGCTACTGACAGCATTTGTTATTTGATGTTTTGAATGGGGAAAGAGTTTGAGTAGTTCAACAATCATGCACATCAGTGTTTATGTCACTCAGTGTTAACTCTCTCGATTCTCCGTCTCCCTCAATGTTTGATGACCGTCCCAGTGTTTCCCTGCGTATTGACTGTCCGTCTCACTGTGCAGTGTTTAATATCTGTCTTTCAGTTTTCAATCTCTATCTCGTGTTAAATAGTTCTCTTTGTATTTAATGTCCGTCCAACTCCTAGTGTTCAATATCTGTCTCATCGTTTATTTTCCGTCTCGCTGTTCAATCTCCGTATCTCAAGGTGCAAGGAGTGTATGATTGTAAACGTTTTGGATTTAGCTACAGATTTTGGAACTTTCCGATGGTAGGTAAATTCTCACCTACTTAACGGATTTTTCAGCGGAGTTTCATTGCAGTGTTTAAGGGTTCTCGGATAATGCTCTTATAAATTCATTATTTTACATCTGTGTTTCATTTTGTAAAAAAGATTTCAAGTATAAAGATGATGACAATGACATGTCCGTTCTATAATTCGAGTCGAAATATTGATTATGCAAACTTAGTTAGTCCACGCTGTCTTGTTGTTTACGTAAGCCGCTGTGCGTGACATTGTTAAGAAGTAAAAGACGCGCATTGCGCGCGCGATGTTTTGATACTGCTCGTCCATGGCCGAGGAGGCTCATTTTCCCGTCATATTGTTTGATACTGCTCGGCCATGGCCGAGGAGACTCATTTTCCCGTCATATTGTTTGATACTCCTCGGCCATGGCCGAGGAGGCTCATTTTTTTGATACTGCTCGGCCATGGCCGAGGAGGCTCATTTTCCCGTCATATTGTTTGATACTCCTCGGCCATGGCCGAGGAGGCTCATTTTTTTGATACTGCTCGGCCATGGCCGAGGAGGCTCATTTTCCCGTCATATTGTTTGATACTCCTCGGCCATGGCCGAGGAGGCTCATTTTTTTGATACTGCTCGGCCATGGCCGAGGAGGCTCATTTTCCCGTCATATTGTTTGATACTGCTCGGCCATGGCCGAGGAGACTCATTTTCCCGTCATATTGTTTGATACTCCTCGGCCATGGCCGAGCAGGATCATTTTTTAAAAATGATCCTGAGAGAGAGAGAGAGGGAGAGAGAGAGAGAGAGAGAGAGAGAGAGAGAGAGAGAGAGAGAGAGAGAGAGAGAGAGAGAGAGAGAGAGAGAGAGAGAGAGAGAGAGAGAGAGAGAGAGAGAGAGAGAGAGAGAGAGAGAGAGAGAGAGAGAGAGAGAGAGAGAGAGAGAGAGAGAGAGAGAGAGAGAGAGAGAGAGGAAGAGAAAAGAGAGAGAGAGAGAGAAAATGATCCTCCTCGGCCGAATGAGCCTCCTCGGCCACGTGAGTATGGTTTTTATTTTATTTTTTAAAATGAGCCTCCTCGGCCACCGTCATATTGTTTGATACTCCTCAGCCAGGCCATGGCCGAGGAGACTCATTTTTCCGTCATATTGTTTGATACTCCTCGGCCATGGCCGAGCAGGGTCATTTTTTTAAAATGATCCTCCTCGGCCGAATGAGCCTCCTCGGCCACGTGAGTATGGTTTTTTATTTTATTTTTAAAAATGAGCCTCCTCGGCCACCATAGAGCAGTATTGGAGTGCATCCCATTGGTACAAAGAATCCCAACAGAGCCAGCACCAACATAACCTGCATTTCAGATGTTGCTACCTGAGGGAAAGTTGAAGTTCATGATATTGATAAGTGAAAAGACATGTACTCTTCAATTTATTAATATCACAATGCTGGCAAGCATGACCGTGCCTTTTCACTTTTATATTCACAATACTATTTACCCCCTTTATTATTTACCCCCTTTACTATTTACCCCCTTTATAATTTACCCCCTTAACTTTTAGCCCCTTTACTAATTACTATTTACCCCCTTAACTATTTACCCCCTTTGGCTTTACTATTTACATTTTACCCCCTTTATTATTTATACCCCCTTTACTATTTACCCCCTTTACTATTTACTTGACCATTGTTAATGATCTGGCCCGGCGCGCGCTACTTCGTAGCACTTGCCATCGAGAAGAAAGCGGCGCGCGCTACTTCGAAGAAATTTAGACGAGTAACATCCGTCAAAGTAACATCCGTCAACTATTTACCTTTGACGGATGTTACTCGTCTAAATTTCTTCGAAGTAGCGCGCGCCGCTTTTTTTTCGAAATGTTATGCCCGATGGCACGAGCTACAAAATACCGCGCGCCGGGCCGGATCATTAACAATGGTTAATTGCAATATTTACCCCCTTTACTATTTACAATTTACCCCCTTTATTATTTACCCCCTTACTTCAATACCCCCTTTATTGTTTTCCATGCATTAAGACTCATCGAAAGTAGTTCAGCAGGTATATTTAAGTTTAAATCATTATAATTCAATGTTAAAGATGACAGGAATAAGAAATAGTTATGTGGAGGTTTTTAAGAAATTTGTGCAAAATACGCGCTATGATCAGCAGCCTGTCATTCCGCTGAATCTCTATTCTATTATATGTTTATATATGTTTATGAACATAATAGCCTGAGGTCCCTTAACGGGTGATACTCGTAAAATATCTGTTCCATATATTGACCGGCGCGCGTCCTAGTAGGTTGTAAACCTACAAGAGGTCCCCAGGTAAAAAAATATAAAAGCATATCCAAGTCCAACCATCAAACATTATGTTACAGTTAAAAGCATCGAATTTTGCCCCATTTTGATTATTTTATCAACTCCAATATCCACCAAATTTTTCAGACAGTTGTAGATAAAAAGCCCTATTGAAAGGTTTTTCACAAATTTTCAGAATGATCTCATTTAAGGAACTGAACACTGAAGATATGACAGAATAATACGACAAAAATCAACGAATTTTGTCAAATTACGCGACTTTTACACATACATAACATACTTTTACTCCAAAAGCCGCGCACGTCACCATCAAACATGTCACCTAGGCAAAACTCACTGATCATTCCAAAAAGGTATGACAAATTTGGTACTGTGAAAATTCTCACAAATTCTCACAGTCTCTTATCTAGAAAACAATGGTACAAAAATTTTAAAAATCTGAGCAAGTTTATTTTTATCGTGCACCCCCTAGCTAAAGGCAAATATAAAGATGCAGTTTATAGTTTTTTCTCATAACACACCAATAACATGATTTTCAATTTCATGCTCTGTAATAACATAACAAACAAGCTGTCTATAACCACTGCACACTAATATGTGCGCTTGTTTTTAAACGTAGTTTTTGATCGTAGCGGCGAGATGCTTACTCTGGGCCGCGACGCGCATCAATTATGCGTCTTCACAACACCACAGTTAGATCGGCGAAATGCGCTACTGGACCTCACTGATCTGAAACTGCGAGATCCAATTGGACATCGCAATTTATTTTCTTCGGTGCTTTTAATGGATACATCAAACGATAAGCATTTTTTACATTTTTGATCAATTATTGATTACATTGACATGCAAATTATTTAAAATCGCGATTTGAAGTTTGAAAAAAGTTATAACACAATCAACAATGCGCGCAATTTTAGGAATTGCTTGTGGTCAAATATAACTGTGAGATCAAAATAGATGCCTTAGGATTTAAAAAACATGTTTTTTAATCATTTTTAAATGAATGTTTACAGTTTGTTGAAACGTTTTATTAACAAGAAAATTCACCGCGGTTAAACCACTGCAAACGATCAATTTTCCTACGATGTACTAGTTTCGCGCGGCGCGTCGAAGCGGCGAAGTCTCCAACTAAGGAGGAAATTCACTGAAATTATTAACACATTGTAGCGCGCGCGCAGTATAACGCTTCCATACACATAACATAGGGAATGGTCCTATATTGCGAAGGGCAGACGTTTGTCGTTCAACGAAGGACCGTTGGGCCACCTCATATATCCAAACCCGATACTTATTCCCTACGAGCTTTTTGCCTTCGGCAAGAGTAGGGAAAAAAAAATATAGTATTCCAAGGAAAAATAATTCTCATAGTATTCTCAAGAGTGTCATCCTTTGGTAAAGTATTGATTACTGAAGATTTAGCTTTATCATTTAATCAAACATCTCCCATAGTCTGCTAGTACTTTTGAACCAATGCCTCATGTCATCTTCCATAAGAACAGTCCCTACTACTAATGGAATCAACATAATTGGTCCTTTTAAGATGTTTTTTAAATATAGACCCTTTTAACAGGTTTTCTTATCCTCCTTTGAATTAAATATCTGGCGAAAGTCTCTTTTTGCACTTTGCTTAGTAGAGCTTATGCAATGCCCTTCTAACGTCTCTGGAACATGCTACTACTAATGTATATATTAATCTATGGCTGGTTGCTGGATAACCCTTCATGGATGAAACTCTTAACTCTCTTCTTAATAAGCTGCTGGAGTTAGAGATTTTTTCATATGGTCTTGGTAGTTTGTCATTGCATCATTTGGTGGTGTACTAGTTTTTAGTCTGGGTACAACAGGTTTGATCAGCTGATTGTGATACTGACCTTTGTCGCCTGTATAAGATGGTTGAGTACCAGATTTCATGTCTGTAATGAAGCTGGGGATTTTTAGACATGATACAAACAACTCCATGCTTTAGAATCTAGGCAGACACCACTTTTTCCTGTTTAATTTCTGTGAATGAACTGCAATATGATAGTTTTCTTCGGTGCATTCTTCATTATCACTATGGGAAGGCATGCATTTCTGGTCCCAGTACTATAATTATTCATGAGAGCACTGTTGTATAATAATTCGGGAAAAATAAAACCACGATGATCAACACACAAACTTTTGATAACAGATAACGAAGCAAATACTTCATTATCAAGACGAAATTATGAAATAACCTCGAGCATATTTACAAGACTATTACTAAACCCTCAGTACAACTCTAACTTCACTGTCATTTTACTGATTAAAGATCTGTGCGCAGTCCCGACATTAAACACACGAATTTATCTTTTTGTACTTTACAACCCCGTACAAGTCTACAAATCCTTATCAGTATTAAAATCTCTTGTTATAGATCACGATATTAATATATTTTGATAATTTGAAAGTTTTCGTTAATCTTTTATGTAACTATATTATCTAAATATAATGATAAAAAGTATAATTAATAAAATATGTTCAATAGGTTTGTTTATAATTTATGATTTATGGTACATTGTTATTTTTATCATATTTAAATTTTAGGCTGTAACCTTATTAGTTCAATGGAATAAACCTAGCATGCTGGTTGCAGCTTCGCTTCACTTATAGGTGCATATAAGGGCCCCGATGTAATTGCTACGATCAGTTACTGGACAACTGGGTTTCGGTGTCCCTAATTTTGTTTACACTCGGTCACTTGTACAAGTCATGTAAGTCATTCGGCGACAAGTAAAATGATGTATTTGTGTAACAATTTGAAAAGTGTATTGAAAAAAAAATTTTAACAG